ATATATATATATATCAAAAAAGAGTAAAAAAATTCTTAAAATACAAATATGAATATATATCATATAAAGAACGTCATATATTAATCAACAATTCTGTTCGTTAGGTTCTAAAATAAATATATATTAATATTAATATTATATATAATAATTATATATCTTCAACATTATTGATTTTTCTAATACATTGCATGTTCTCTGATTAATATTTTTATTCCTACGATATATTACATTCGTTATTTTTTATATTATTTGGGAGAGGAGTTAATTGTTATACGGGGTAAGTTGTTACAGTTAATTTTTTTAATTGCCACAGATAGTAGCACATTTTTATATGTGATTTTTATCATACTATACAACTTCATTTATTGTTTATTGTTTACCCATATTGAACTCCAGAAGATGCTATATATATTATTTTACTTTCATTATTAAAAGTAAATATTTCATTATATATAAATCGCTTGGGTTACTGTATACAATTGAATCTCTATAAAAGTAACCCGAATAAAAATTTGTATGTGCAATTATATGATTATACTTTTGATTATAATAACACATTTTATTTGAATCGATATATGTATGTTGATTTTCAATGTGTATTTTTTCGAATCGAAAATGGAAAATTGGGACAAGTTGTTACACTTCGATCGGGACAGGTTGTTACAGTGTAACAGCTTATCTCATTAAGAACAATTTTTTTCTTCTACGGAATGATGCATAGATTACAAATAGACTATAATAAATAGACTGCTAACTTCGTCTCTATGTTTGAAGACAGCGCTGGACAGCATCATATTTGTGTTCACTAACTCTCACATGTATAAATCACACGATGACATTAGTGTTTTCGTATACGCGATATTCACAGATAGGACGCCACATTTGCATATGTGAATTGAAATAAGAGTAGCTCGGAATCAGGTTTATCTTTTTCTATCATATTAAATCAGCTGTAATTAAATCTAGTTATAAAAATCTATAGAATGATACGATCTTACAAAAAAAACAGAGGATCTATACATACAGAAATGTGAATATGCGACAACGGCAAAGGAAGTTAAAAGTGGCTGTCTGTCTCTGAAAAGAGAATTTTCATTAGAGACATTCTTTTATGTATTAAAACAAACAAATAAAATGTAACATTTTACATTGTTTATATCTTTTCCTCTTCTTGATTTTTTTCTTGATTTTTTCTTACTTTCTTTTTTTTTCCTTTTTTTAAGTAAAAAGTATCTAAATTTTCGATACTTTTTTCTTATAATGATATTTTCTTCTTATGTCTGTTTCTATACTTAGGTAATTATAAAAAAATATCTGTACTTATACCTAAATACATTTTCTATGTAATACCTATACCTATATCTAGATATCTTTCAAACGCTATCTGTTCCAATTGTAAGTGATATAATATTTTGTTCTAGCTCAATAACAACTTGCCCCACAGTGGGGTAAGTTGTTACAATCTCCCTACTGAAAGAAAATTTTAATTTTCAATATTTAAAGACACAGATATAAATCAGAAAAAATTGACTATCCAATTAAAGCTATGTACTTGAAGCAATGCATAGGTATTCATTAATTTAAATGTATACATTAGTACGAAAAAAATTGCTAATCAAAAATTGTAACAACTTGCCCCGATCTCTCCTATATAATAAAAATTAATATTGGGGATTTATAACTGCGGCATTATTGGCATTATCTTACTGAACAATTTTGTTAATATACATACATTTCGGGAACAGCATTTGTATGGATTTTCATATATTACAATATAAAACAGAAAACTTACTTGAAACAGATTTAGGCTTAAGCAAGCCACGACAAATACTATTAAACAAAACGCCAATACCTCGAATATAGATACCAAAAGATTAGACAATCTTGAAAAGAAAAATATTATTAAACATATTTTTTGTCTGTTGTAGGCATGTGTACCAACTTCATAGCTTGTCGATGAATCTCGACGGCACAAATTATGCCCTCGTTCATCAAATTCTTATTTTTCGGCGTAATATTTTGTCGAATATTGATGTTTATTGCATGCTCAATACGATAGCTGTAAATGTTTGTATAATTATACATCAATCTATTGAATGACACAATTTTTCAATTAAAAATACATAATTTCGTAAACTTTTTAATACGTTACATTATTTAAATATATGATGTTAAAAGTTAAATTTTGAGTAACAGTTTAAATTATTATGATTATTCGTATATCTTTATCCGTACCCAGCAATTTTGAATATTCCACAGATATACTGAAGATACGTAAGGAAGAATGTTCCTATTGATAATAACGCAATTGCTCCGACGTATGTAATTGCGTAGAAGTGCAACAAAATTAAATAAAAATATTTTTCTTGATCGATAAAATATTCCATCATAATTGGTAGATGAGATATATTTTTTGGTGAAACAATGAAATTATTCGCCAAATGCTGACCGATAGTATAAATAAATATCACAATAACGAATAATACTAAAAAATATTAGAAAATGTTTTTATTAAAAATTCTGCAATGTAAGTTTATCAAGATTTATACTATTTAGCACGCAAACACATACATAGGCACGTACAGGCGCACGTATGTATGCATCATGCACACATTATAAATACATATAAAATTTTATATTATTTTATTAATATATTTATAAAATTTTATTTAAAAGTACTCTATTATTTATGCAATTTGTGCAATATGCTATTACACAAATTGCTTACTAATGTTATTAATTATAGTAAAGGCATATATAGGATGTTAGTTAACTATGTTGTCATATTCAACAGAGCGATTCTTTGATTTGTTTCAAAAAGTTCATATAAACATGTCCTAAACGGTTTAGTTTCCGAAATACAGGTGAATATTCGCAAATATTTGACGAAACGGTAAATTATGTTGGCGATATCTTTCTGCATAATTACGTCTTGCTTCACGTTAGTTATTTATTACGAGTTAGTATTTGCAAGACCGTAGGCAAAGTGCATATCTGCCATTTCAAAATTTGTAAACTTAAACATAATAAAAATTTTGATGGACTGAAACAATTTGGCCCGAAAACGTATGTAGAAGCTAACTGACTCGCAGCAATATCAGAAGTCTATTCTTGATTTTGTGATTTTGACTTTGACTTTGTCACTTTGTTTACGATTGTGCGAACTTGTGGTAACTCATGTGAAGCAATATCTCCAATGCAATTTACTATATCGTCAAAAACATTTGCGAATATTCACCGCTATCTTTAAGAAAAGAGTTTTTTTCGTAAGGAATACTGTTGAGCTTGGAAAGCCTATGACAATTAGAACACCAGCACTAGAGGAAGTTGTTCTTAACGACATCGAAGCACATCCAGAAACGATCACATAGGACATTAAATATGAATTATGTCATCTGGAGAATTTTGAAAGACCAACAGTTATATCCTTATCACATTCAACGTGTACTGAGACATTTACATGCGATTTTCCACAAAGACTAGCTTTTTGTCAATGGATTTTTCTATTTCGGAACTTTTTTATTTCGGAAACTAAGCTGTTTAGGACACATGTTTAAAAAGACTTTTTTACTTGAAATAAACCAAAGAATCGCTCTGTTGAGTATAGCAATATACATACTTAACTAACATCCTGTATATGGCAAATATTTTAGTAGAATCCGTTTAATATATCATACATTAAAATATATAGAAATATTATTTAATATAATAATAATAATTTAATAATAATAAATTATTATTTATTTAAAATTAATTTCATAATTACACAATAATTATGAGCATAGATATGAAAATATTGTTTTACGTGTGAGCATAATTGTGTCACGCCTTGCAGAATAATTATATTCTTCTATGATAGCAACTTCATTTTTATCTTTTACTTGATTACATACATACTCAAGTTGCATTAATAAATCTTTTACCTGTTATTTCAATAATTTCGTATATTGTCTTTGTAATATAATAATTTTTAAATAATTTTTTAATAACATAAATTCATTTGACACAGATAGTTATGCTGTCAAATGCACATTCTGTGGGATAAAATCACTAGTTGTGGATCGCTCTTTAAAAAAATTTTATATTTTTATGGATAACAATATCAAATAATTAATAAAATATTTAATAGTCATGATTATTCATAAAGATTATATTATATAATAATTTCATTCCATTTAATTATCACTTTATACATTTTAATTTGAATTAAATAATGTAATGACAATTATCCACAATTAGACTTTATGTATTAATTGCGGTCATCAATTCAATTCATCAAATGCTTTATCCTTTTTGAGGTTCCTAAATCCCATAAGAATAAAAAATATGATTTGCAATTATATTGTAATATACAGGATGTTGTCCAAGCTATGAAGGCTCACAGAGGTGAGCGCGGCGCAGGGCTCTTGCCAGATAACACTCAACCTGCCCATGAAATATTTGGCGATTATTTTGGGACACCCTGTATATGCGTGTGACAGATTAGTTGATGATTCACATCTAGTTCTAGGATCAAATTGTGAATCATGATGCAATTTTATCACATTCAAGTTTATTTAAAATTAGTGACAGTAAATAATTAATGATAATAAAAAAAAATTAATGAAAATAGAATGTTTAGCAATAAAAAACAATTAAATTATGAGTAAATTATAGTAACACTTTCTGCATATAGACATGTATACTATTTTATATTCTATTTTGTTATTTAAAACAAATAAATCTTTTCGAGATGACATCATTTGTAAGATCATTTTATAAGTTTCTAAACATTTTTATAATAAATTTAAGCAATAAAAGTATCGTTATAACATAGTGATTAAACATCCGTGGATACATTTAATTTCATCTGCGCGTTGATTCTCTCTATCATATAAATTTAATGTTATTTACTATCTATTAAATCTACTATCTACTAAAAAAGCCATAAGGCAATTCTTATGACATATTACATTGTGAATGAATTTTTAAAGATACATACGTTAATTAATTTCGCACATTTAATTAGTTAACAACAACAATAAAATGTCTAGCGCTGTTCTTAATAAATTAAATACAATTGGAAAGAAATAAAACAAATGCTAAAGAATCTTGTAATATGTATAATTTAATGGAAAATATGTAATTATTTAAATATAAAAAATGATTCGGAACTAGTGCCTGATCCACATCTAGTACTTTTATCCTAAGTCGTCAACTTACAGCTTCGATGTTAAAACTAAATGAGTTGTAACTTATTAGGCAAATAATAAAAGTAAATGTGGAAGACAAGACCTTGCTGACGAGATTTAAAGTACATTTTGATGTCATTAGCGTTGTCAACTACCAGGAGTAATTTTATTTTTAATTATACATTTATAAACAATTATAAATTTATATAACACTTTATTATATAATAATGAGATAGTCTTGACAATAAAGATTTACAAAATAACTTATTACACAGTTTTACTATTATATACTCTTACCTGAAATATAATACCCGCTGTTAGAATATTAGAAAAGAGGATAAACTGAAATCGTGTAAATTTAGATTGTTGATAAGGCCATAAGCCGATAACGAGCAACAGAATTCTATTGAAGCTGAAATACTGAATCCCTAGATGAACCATCCTCTGCGATGTCTGGGATATGACTGATTATGAAATAGTCGACGAGTATGATTATCCCTTCTTCTTCTCCATCGATTACCTAGATGTTCTCTATTATAGTGTAAATTTTTAGTATAAATGCCATAATTTGTATAATATTAGGCTATACAAAAAATATCCATTGTTAGATCATAAATCCATTTATATTTTAGTAGTGTTTTTTGCAATGAATTATTAAAATTAAATCATAATTTCGATATCAAGAAAATTACGAAAGAATATCTTCTTTTAATAAAAAAAAATAGAAAAGACATACATTTATCAAAGGACAGAAGTCACGCAAACGCTTATCTTTTTTTTAGTGCATTAACTTCGTGCATTTTCGTATGAACTCTCACATAATATGACATTTGGTCTTTGAGATGAATGACCTCTATATATTCTTTCTTCGGCATATTAATTAATACATATCTCATATCAATTTAAAATATGGTAATTAAATCAACACAATATTTTCCAATGTAATGCTTATATTTGCAAAAGATTGCTATTATATTATTAACATTACTTATTGAATATTTTTAATAGATTCTACAATAAATTAATTGAATCTATTGTTTATATTTTCACAATATGTTCAGTTTTAATATATATTTACAGATGTTTATTTTCGTTTTCATCAGTGTAAGATTAATTATAATCTGAATTTAATTTATCTTTATCTAATACTTCAAATTAGAAAAAGATAAAAACTAAATTGAATCGAGATTTAATCTTATGTTGATGAATTTTGATTTTGCATTTTTAATAATAAATTAATTAATTTAAGCAAAAATAATATACGTAGTAAAAAGACAGATTTTCTTTTTTTTTCAAATGCGAGAAATGCTAGACAATTATTGTACATTTATATCCTATGGAAAATTTTTTTTAATTACATAGAAATTTTCGCGCTGTGTATATGCTCTTATTGTCCCTATATTGAATTGTATTTTTTAATTTTGAAAACCCGAT